AAATCTTTGTACATTTTTTTTGTCTAACATGATAAATATATAATGTTAGAGATGTGCCCACATGTCTTCTACAAAGTTTCTGCATTTTTTGTATTTTTTTGTTTTTTTTTTTTATTTTTATTTATCTAAATATGATATCAAGGAGTAACACATTTGATTGAAAAGTATAAATTGTTGATCCTCTATTAAATAGGAAAACAATTTAATTTTTGGGTCAGCTTTACATTTATAATTCATTTCCATCATTAGTAAACACTTTTTTTATTTAATATGACTAATATAAAATATTAGTGAATTTCTGTATTTTTTTCATTTTTGCGCTTTTATCTTTTTTAAGTTTTTATTATTTTATTTTGACTTCAAGGGTTGATACATTTGACCCAAAAGGTTGAACTATTAATTCACTACCAAATAGGAAAATAATTTCATTTTTGGGTTAGTTTTAACTTTTGTTTTTCATTTCGAATATCAATAGAAACAATTATTGTATTTATTTTCGTTTTAAAATTTTATTTTTTAACTATTACATCATGGGTTGACTCATTTAACTTGATTTTTTGAATTATCTACCCACTACCAAGATGGGAAAATAGTCTCATCTTTGGATTGGATTTAAACATAGATTTTATATTGCTAAAAGTATTGGATATAGATCTAACTGACAGAATTTATTTGAACCAAAAAAATGATAAAACTTATTAGTGAGAAAAATTAGCTTAAATATGGGATTTAATGAAAGAGAATGAGAATTAATATCTTAAATATAAGACTTAATGAGAGGTAATTGAATGAGGTAAAAAAAAATATAGTTCAAATTACATTTCCTATCCTCACAATTATAGAGGGGTCAAATAAAAAATACGAGGGCGTTTCAGTCAAGAATAGGATTTAATGAAAGATTATGAGAGTTAATATCTTAAATTTATGACTTAATGAGAATGAGATATAAGGGTATTTTAAGTACTTCTAATAATAGTATAGAAAGAGATATATGCAACTTTAGAGAGATTAGAAACTATTCGAGAGAGGAAATTTGAATTAACCCACTTAAAATAGCTTATCAGTCATAAAGGTACAAAGGTATAGCTACTCAGAGTGAGTTTATTGAACAGCAAGAAACTCGTTTTTGTCCCACAATGGCCATTTTCTTTTAGCAGCACGAGCAGTTTGCCAAGCACACAAGAGTCCAATGGTCATTTTCTTTCTAGCGAATCCACATATGGCTTGAGAGCAACAATACAATAGAATTGAATAAACTCCATCTAATGATCATTTTGTCAAATGCGCAAAACTTAGTAAAGGAGATTAAAGAAATATGAGCATTTCATGGTTTCACTTAGGTAATTAGGTATGACAACAGGAATGCAAGGAATTTCTTTTCCATAGGCTGCATTTGCTTTCGTTGTAAATGCGAATGGACATAAAACTTCAAAGTAAGTTTGCGTTTGTGCACGATTGTTTTTAGTGTAAATACGAACTGGTGTGAAACTCTACTCCTGGTCCATATTTTCATGTGTTCTCATTGGTTGACTTTTCCAACGTAAATAATACATCAATTTTATCAATGCACATATACATCGATTATCACGTTAAAAAAGCTTTGACAGTCCACTAAAACTACTTTAAACCAATCGATTGAGCTTTACATCGATGAACTTTCCACTGAAAACAAATGCAACCGCAAGGATAGGATTGAAGTATTTGCAAATCATTTAAATAGAACAACAATTAATAAACCAAGTTGCGCCTTGCACATCAAGCATGTCATAAGAAGCACTAAGTTCCACTGTTTTCAACCTACCATTGACGTAAATGGTTGAACCATCACCTTATCACAATTTGGTCTAATTTTTTTAAAGCTAGGATTTGACCAAAAACTGTTGATTTGCTTAAAATCCATTCAACCTGGCTATTGAACTGTTGACTTGTTCAACCCAATCACTGGGTCATACACTAAAATGTAATCTTTCAGATGCCATAATTTTGTACTTGATTTTTGATTGCGATGATTTTCATATCGATTTTGAGTAACTTTTTGAGACCTTGCCTCTCTATTTTTGCAAAAGAAAACAAAAAAAAAGCCTCAAATCACAATTTTTAACATTTTTATAAGGGTAGATTACAAAGACCCACCCGTACTATGGGGTCTGCGACAAAGAACCCCCTGTACTATGACCTTGAGACAAAGACCCCCTTCTGTTAGCCTTCCGTCCAAAAAGGCCGTTACAATATTTTTTAATCTCCATACTACCCTTGTAATAACTAAACGAGAAAAACATTGTTCATCTTCCCCAACCTTCGATACCCTTTTATTCCTTCACATTTCTCTCTCTCCCCCGATCTCTCTTCTTACCCTTCCCTTAACAGCGTCGGGATTGAACCCATTTAATTCTCTCCCCCGATCTCTCTTCGTGCCCTTTCCTTAACAACGTCGAGATTGAGCCCACTTAATTCAATCCCAATCTCTCTCTCCGTTACTGCTTTTTTCATATCCCAATCTCTCTCTCTCCATTTGCATGCTTCCCTAACCAGTTCAAAACTTTCAACCCGTCTTCAAATGCAGCCGGATAGGAAACTTCCGCCACCGTGAAATTGCAACATGATAGGACAGGGGCAAGGATGAGAATTGAATGGAAGAGAGTCCGATAAGAGATGTGGCAAGTTGCGACCTTGATATTCATGAAGTCAAGAAACCCATTGTTGCTCGAGATCATGATGCTTTTCATGCTAGGAGAGAAATGGAGCTGCGTCGTCGTCTCTGTCGCCTCCTCGTCGTTAGGGCAACGAGAACCCTAGAAACCCAGTTCAGATGCCCCCCAAAGAAAGCCGCGAAATTCACCATCAGATTCATTGGAATGAGAACAAACCGATAAAGATAGGGATCTCTTTTAGGTATTTCTCCAATTGGATCTTTGGGGTCTTTTTTAATCCAGCATTGGAGATTAGGATGAGTTTTGATCAATTTTAGCTGAAGGCACAAAGATTCGTTGACAAAATCGAACTAGGTTCTTCTTTCTCTCCCATGGAGAACCAAGGATCGTGAGGGAGAGAGAAAGAGAACAAAGAAAGATGTGCTTTGTTTCATTCTATTTGACCCATTATTGCTCGAGATCGTGATGCTTTTCATGCTAGGAGAGAAATGAAGCTACATCGTCGTCTCTGTCACCTCCTTGTCGTCATGGCAACAAGAACCCTAGAAACCCAGTTCAAATACCCCCCAAAAAAGCCATGAAATTCACCATTCAATTCACTAGAATGAGAACAAATCAATAGAGATGGGGACTTCTTCTGGGTATTTCTCCAATTAGATCTTCGGGGCCTTTTTGAATCTGGCATTGGAGATCAGAGATGGGTTTTGATCGATTTCAGATGAAGGCACGAAGATTCGTTGACAAAATCGAACTAGGCTCTTCTTTCTCTCCCATGGAGAATCGAGGATTGTGAGGGAGAGAGAAAGAGAACAAAGAAAGATGCGCTTTGTTTCATTCTATTTTGTTTTTCTTTTCTTTTGAAAACTTTTTGATCAACTGATTGGCCAAGAAGAGAAGAAAGGAAAGATGATAAATGGGTTTCCTCCATTCTTTCATTTCGGAGAGTTGCAGAGAGAAAGAATGAGAGAGCACGATGAGGGAGGGGAAAAGAAGAGAAGAAAGGGAAAACAATAGGTTAAATAGGTTTAAGAGAAAAAGGGCAAAAATAGAAAATAGAAAAAATATATTGGGGTATTTTGGTAATTTAATGCATTCTATCATCTAACTTAACGGTCAAGGGGGTCTTTGTCTCATGGTCATAGTATAGGGGGGTCTTTGTCACAGACCCCATAGTATAGGGGGGTCTTTGTAATTTACCCATTTTATAAATAAAATCAGTTTTAAAATACTAAGGTGTCGTTTGCAAGTCTTTTTTGAAAGATCTTCTAGCAAACCTGACAGCCAAAAGACGATGTGAGCTTTTGAATTAAGACCTTAGCAGCCTGAAGATTGTTTGGTTAATGTTCGTCTTCCCGTATGTCTTTCTGTGCAAAGACATGATAAAAAAAAGTCAAAAAGCTCCATTTGGAGCTTCCCAAATATAGCCCAAAACAGGCTTTGCACGTCTTTTCGAAGTGTCACCTTTTGGCAACTAGACCTTTTCCCAACCAAACGGGAAAAGACCAAAATGTGGTTGTCTGCACAGAAAGACACGCCAAACATGGGATAAGTTCACTACATGAAACAAGCACCGGGGTTGATATAGCCTGAGGCCTTTTGGTTCGATCAAAACTCAAATTCTTGATGTTGAAAAAAGGATAATTATAAGGACAAATTTCTTAAACTATCCCTAAAGTTTAGGAAATTGACTAACTATATCTTTGTTGTTTAAGTATTATCTTAAAGTATCTCTATTGTTTCTAGCAATTGTCTAAATCTTCTTATTGTCCGTTAATGGAAGGATTAAAAAAAACTATTTTGTCTATCATTCTTTTTTAAATTTTGAAAATGAAACTTTTGATACCTTATTGAAAGTCAGACGATGTTGGTCATCGTGTGAAGATGTCGGTGAGGCTTTGATCGTCGTTGTCTGCAAGAAAGCTGACGATCAAGGGTATTGGTCGCCGTTGTTCTCATTGGGGAAGACTAGTGCTTTTGCTCTGCTTCCCAGTCTTCGCATGGGCCATCTGGCTGCCACACTAGATGCTCATTGTTGTATGGTTTCTTTTGCCGTTATTCCTTGCATAATCATCCCACCTTCTCATTTCTTCAGGGTTGTATGCCAACAACACCACCAACCCCTTTTTTCTTTAATTGAGGACGTGTGCAAGTGCACTCTGCCTCTTAGCTTCAAACTCCAACACCTCTGCTTCCTTTACATTCAATATGTTAAAAGGGGCATCATCTTATTTCCATACCTCGTTATTTGCGATGATTCTCATGCACCCTCCGGAATAGTTGTCGGAATCTCAACCTTCCTGCGATTGGGCACGGAACCCAAACAAACATTGACATTAACATGCCGAATACGAGTAGGTCAAGATTGTGCAGAGGTTGTTTCTGTAAAGAAGCACATCCATTCTCGTCCTCCCACTGATTGGACTTATGGAGCTTTTGTTTGGGTGGATACGTTTGCTTTGTTCCGGTGCTACAGATCTCATCCGAAAGCTCTTGAGCAGGTGCCAAGTATTTTGAGTTCTTGAGCTGAAAGTGGACCTGGTGAATATTTGCAGCTTTTCCAAAATAACCATCTTGCAAGATTTGTTGTTGCTGTTGAAGATTTGCAGATTTTCCAAAGAACAGCTTTCTACATCTGTTGTTGATGATGATGATATGAATTATTCTGCAATCGAAACACCATCAAATCTCACTATAACCCAAACCAAAGGGATCCTAAACAACACCTTCCAGAGGAGCTTGGAGCAAGAGTCACTTTCTGGCTCTCATCAATATATCTTTGTCAACCTTGTTATTGTAGGTCTGGAACCTAAGGGCAAATAAAGAGAGATTTGCTCCATCTGCCATTGAAATCCTATAAATTATAGATGAGACTTTAGATGCATTCTTTCAACTACCAATACCAATGCATCCTGCATTGCTTCCTGATTTAATGCCTAACGTTGATAGATGCCTTCAGCATTATGTATCTAAGGCAAAATCCGGCTATGGTAAATTCTTGCAAAACCCAAATTTATAAATGGCTTTTTGATTCTTAATCTTATTACGAACTTTATCCCTTTCTGTGATGTATAGGGACACAAAACACTTTCATTCCCACCAAGCCGGCATTAACCAGGATCAAAGTTCCAAGCTGTGTGAAAGAAGAAAGAGAAGTCCTAAGGAACTCCAAAGCGGAAGTTTCAGGTTGGCACAATGAAAGGAGACAGCTTTGGAACTCAAAGAACTTTGAGTACTAGGCTTTATTTACTATGTTACTCATACAAGAGAAGTCCATCTATGCATTCTGCCCACTTTAGAGAGAGAGAGAGAGAGGTCAGACAGGAGAGAGAGGAGGACGATGGTGATCTTTGCTGGAAAGGGTATTTTGGGTATTGATGATGTGCGATCTAGAAGCTCAGATGCTGAGTTGGCAATTTCTTCGACTCGACCTGCAAAAAGGCAGTATCAAAGTACTTGAGTTGCTTTACCCGGGGTGGGCATTTTGATGCTTAAGTCAACGAATTGAAGATTTTGGAGAGAGCTAAAGAGCAAAAGAGTTAGAGAACTGCGAGAGATAAATTGTGCATGCCTCTTGAAGTTGGAAATGAGACCTTTATATAGGTATTGTTTGGCATGAGATTCACGCACCGCATTTGAAATCTCCAGGAAGGTGTGGTTAACTATCCGAAATCTTCGGAGGTAGTTTCGCATGCAAAATAGGCTTTTGTGCCTTCCTCCGGAATATTCGGTACAGGAGTAGACATCTGGGAGAACCGGGAGTGATGGGATAAACGCAGAGGAGGTTGAAGAGCATGTCTCGTAGGTCGCCACCTAGACCTTAGTTAGGTCGGAAAGTTCTCGAGGGAGGCCACACCCCACACTCGAGCCGTGACTAGTTTGGCGAAGAGTGTAGCTTGTTTGAAGATGAGGCCCGAGGTGACCTGCTCTGGACGTTGGTCGAGTCAATCCGCTTCTAGACTTGCCAGGCTACTTTTGGCGCGAAGGGATACACTTGAAATTGTGCATCTCTCTTCAAATTTCGAAACACGGCATGCATTCAAAATGGCACGCGCTTCCTTCAAAATTCCAAGCAAGCGTTGCCTTTTGAAATTTGAAACAGAACGCGCTTTCTAATTTTAAGTTATGGTGCGCTCGCCCATCAAAATTTCGAATGCGGACTTCTTTCTAGATCGTTGGATTGAGCGAATCCGGATCATCGATAGTCCGCGCTTCTGTCTATAAATTGGGGGGATCCTCATGGGCTCCATGTCGCTTTCCAATTTTGGATTGACGCTAAAGTGAAGGTTGGTGATGATTTTGACGAACTCCAGGTCGATTGTGGCGGTTTCTGGCAACTCATCTCCTTCTTCTTCTTCTTATTGTTAAGTCTCCATTTCTTCTTAGTTATGTCTAGCAGGTCAGAAAGGGAGTGCTACCCTAACACTCGAGGCAAGGCAGGGGCGTCGGATCAAGAGCGAAGAGGATCGCATGGGGGGCACCAACCTCTCAACAAACCCCATCTAGAATAGGTTTCAGGCCCTCTGAGCTATCCGACAAGGAGATTGTAGATCGGATTACCACCTACTAGATCCCTAGTGACTTGAATTGTATCCAACCCGAGGACAAGGAATATCCATGAAGCCATGGAAAAACCGAGGTATGTGTCTACAAGGAAGCGCTCTTTGTCGGGCTCTGCTTTCCCCTTCATCTGTTTATTTGTGAAATCCTCCTACACTATGGTTTGGCACTGGATCAACTGCACCCGAACTCCATCAGGACCATTGTAGGCACCATTTCTCTTATCTATCACCTCGGTTTCCCCTTAGATATAGAGATCTTCAACAGGATATGTCACGTAAAGCGAGTTCCAAACAAAAACCATTGCTTCTACATCAGCGGCCAACCTACGTTTAGGCTTTTGGAAGATTTTCCATCCAAGATCGCAAACTGGAATACGAAGTTCTTATTTTTGAGCCGCAAGGAGGGCTGGCCTATGTTGACAACCTGGAAGGCCGAGGCAAAAAGGTATGAAGTCGAATTTGACGAGGAGTTGTTAAATGACTTTAGACTCCTCGTTGAACGGCCCTCCTTGTTCAACGAGTTCCTGGCCAAACCAATGCTCATCGAGGGCGGCCGTAGCCCCATAGGTATGTCGCATTATATTCATAACCTTCGAATTCTATTCAAAGAAGAAGAGGAGGGCGGTCGGTGTGTCTAGACACAAGGTCAAAGAGAGGTCGACGGAAGGTCATTGTGTTGTGGTTGACCTAGAGGAGGGCGGTAACCTAATTCAGGCCAACCCTCCTCACGTCGCTCCTATACAATCGGTGAGTGCATCCCACTTCGAGGAAGCGACTACTCCTTACGGCCTAGAGATCCCTCCGTTCATTCCCCGGGTCAATTGCTTGATCACGGATTGGATTCATGACTCATATGTGGCACTTTGTATTGGAAGGGGTATTCTCCTTCCTAAAGATGTTCATGTTTATCATGAGCTGGATCTCTCTGAACTCGGTGCTCGGATTATTCGAAATGCCATGCAAGTAGGCATCTTCGTGACACTTGCTCCGCTACTTTATTTGTCCCTTATCGATCTGTTTTTCTGTTTGCATATCAGCTCGTTGGGTCAAGTCATTCTGGATCAAGTCATCACCTCAAGGCATGAGTCCCATGAGATGAGGGTCAACATAGAGACCCTCCAATCTCAGCTAGAGGCAACCAGTCTTAGTGCCGAGGAGGACTGCCAGCGATTCTGTTCCCTTAGCACGAGTATGAACCGTGAGTTAGAGGATATTCACTAAGCCGAAGTTGCTGCTATTGAGCGCTTTTGCCGATCTCCGGAGTTTGAACAGGAGAGAATTGAAGTGGTGGTTCCTTCTCTAAAGAGGGGCTTCAAACTGTACCACCACTTTCTTTGATGTCAGTACCCGAACCTTGACTTGAGCTCTATCTCTCTTAGGTCGGTCCTAGATTATCTGACCCGAGAAGTCAAGGAAGAGGCAACTACTCTAGAGGAGGCAAATGACGATGAGGATGATTGTGAGGGCAGTAACGAGACTGATGACTAGTGACAAGCTCCCCCTTTTCTTAGACTACTGTACGCTGGGCTTACGAACTCGATAAAACTTGAATTTTTTGCAACCTGTTCTTTATTTTGTTGGTTGTACAAAATCCTCTTGAATGAAACTTCTATAGTCTTCCCTTCCTCTCCATTTCATTTTTTATCAATTTAGTAGTGAGATACTGACATCCTTTGAGATCGATTCAAGTATGGTAGCGTCAAAGTCAAAATGTTGCCGAGCTAGATAGGTGGGGGCCGACCTGGTTAGATTAGTCTACCTGTTGCCAACGTGTTTCAAGGTTGGCTTGAGGGGGCCTTGAATAGGAATGGAAATAGGGTGGGTTCGGGGCGGGGATTACATTCCCCATCCCCGACCCCGACCCCCAAATCACCCCCCATCCTCGTCCCTGATCCCCGATGGGAAAGGAATCCCCCCTCCATCCCTGACCCCGACGAAGATGAACTCTCTATCAGAGACCCGAATCCCTGATGGGTTGAAAGTGACTACCCAATTACAAAGAGATTGAGAGAAAGACTGAGAGTGAGGTCGGCGAAAGAGAGGGAAAGAGAGAGATTGAGAGAAAGACTGAGAGTATGAGATAGAGAGATTAAAGAAAGATTAAAGACTGAGAGAAAGACTGAGAGTATGAGAGTATGAGACAGAGTATGAGAGATAGAGAAAGGACTGTTGTGAGAGTTGAGGTTGGCGACGAGAGAGAGTCCGATGGGCGACAACAACAGCGGTCAGCGACGGTAGACGAAGGTTAAAGGAAGATTAAAGATCTAAAACTCTTCTTTGAGTATCTCTTCTCTGTCACTCAAGAAGGCATGAAACTAGGGTTCTGACGGCAACGACAGGAGACAGCGACGACGGTCGGCGAATTAGCAACAAAGACGAAGGAAGACGAAGGCACACACGAAGCTAGGGTTCAATCGTTCAAAGATAGAGTTCTTTCTTGAGTCTCTTCTCTCTATCAAAGACTCAAAGTTGAACTGTCGAGGGTTTTAGTGTTTTACACTTTTATTGTTTTTTAAGTTTTAATATTTAAAAAAAAGAATAATTATTATTATAATTATATAAAATATAATATTATATATTATATTATATAATATATTACATATTACATATATAATTATATATATTAATTGGGCCGGTCGGGGCAAGGATTGCATTCCCTATCCCCGTCCCTGAACCCGATCGGGGATTCAGGGATCTCCCCATCCCCGACCCCACCAAAGTACCCCCCATACCTGACCACATTGGGTTGGGGAGCCCGGGTACCCGTTGGGGATGGGGACAAATGCCAACCTAGTCTTGAAGTTGAGAGTGGTTTAGTTTCCCCTTAGAATTCGAATTGACCAAGTCGCAAAAGCAGATGGTCATTTTGTAGTATACATGCCATCATGTGGGATTGACTCTCCCAGGTCTATGTTCGTGGGTCAATGCCGCTTATGTGTTGTACCTACTCCTGGAACTGTTGGTCGTCCACTCCTACTAGAGCCATGGGGAGTTCACCTTGAGGGGGTGACTCTATTGTCTATGGGTTGCCTACTCTCACGAGAACCATGAAAGGTTACACTTGTGAGGTCGGCTCCACAATCAATTAGCTGCCAACTCTTATGGGAGCCATGGAGGGCTCAATCAATAGTAAAGCTTTGTTGTTTGGGTTGGGAGACTTTCTGGACCAGATCGTTGAAGCTCGACCAGGCTGGTCATTTAGATTCTACCCCCTTGTGATAGCATTGTTGATACGTGTGTTGCTGTTGGCATTGAATGGTGGGTCAGTGCCATGACTACACTGCATTAGCCCTTGGAGACACTAGTCGTCTACTCCTACGATAAGCCATAGGGAGCTCAACCTATGGGGGTGACTCTACTATCTATAGATCGCCAAGTCTCATGGAAGCCTTGAAAGGTTGGACCCGCAAGGGTGACTGCACAGTCTGTTTGCCTCTGACTCCCATGGGAGCCGCGAAGGGCTCAACCTATAAAGGCAACCTCGCAAATAGAACTAACAAGGCTTGTCCAGGCTGATTACCGTTGAGTGCGAGTTTAAAATGAGAGTTGAGAACATAGCTTTTAAGTAGTGATTCCCACAGACATCGCCAACTGATGATGCACGATTTAGCAGCTTAAATGCCGAGCTGGCGAGTTCATCGAGTCGATCTGCAAAAAGACAGTATCAAAGTACCCAGGCTGCTTTACTCGAGGTGGGCACTTCGATGCTTAAGTCAACGAACTGGATATTTCAGAGAGAGCTAAAGAGCAAAAGAGCTAGAGAGTTGTGAAAGCTAAATTGTGCATACCTCTTGAAAATGAGACCTTTATATAGGTATTACTTGGAGTGAGCTCCATGCACCACATTTGAGGTCTCTAGGAAGGCGTGGCTGACCTGTCCAAAGTCATCAAAGGTAGTTTCACATGCAGACTAGGCTTTTTTGCCTTCCTCTAGAACATTTGGTACGGGAACAGACTTTTGGGAGACCTGGGAGTGACGGGATGCACGCAGAAGTCGGTAAGCACGTCTTGTAGGTCGCCACCTGAACCTCAGTTAGGTCAGCAAGTTCTCAAGGGATGTCGCTCCCCGCAGGTCGGTAAGTACCATAGGTCGACAAGTCCTCGTGGAGGTCGCTCCTTATGCTGAAGTCCCTTGGACTAGTAACGACAAGGTACCACAGGTCGGCCCTAGACGAGGTGCTGCTAGTTGCCTTGCCGAGGTGCCCGAGCTGTGTATGAGGTATCCTAGATTGATTCTGGGGTGTGTCTCCTTGAGTCGACGAGATACATGTTTATCCGTGTGGTACTGAAATGTCAAGTAATGAAGATAAATGTCACATATTGCCAGATCAATAGAGGGACAAATCACCCCTCATCAAATATAATTTAAAATTAAATCAAATAAGTGAAGTCATTGTGCGTCAATTACCAGAAGAAATTTGCCCTAATTATAATAGTGAAGTTTAAAGGGTTTTTGATTGCTTGACTTAATATAAACCAGGGTTTTCATGATGTTGTTTTACATTTGTGAAGATATAATTAATTGATTTTAAAATGCTGGTGACGACGACTATATCTCCTTTACCTATACTGACGTATTAATTGAATGCAGATTGAACTAAACCCACGGTTCTCTCTCCGCCTACCAAGGAGATCCACCACTTTCTCTCGAATCTTTTTTTCCTAATTTGTTTAATAAATTCTCTAGAATCTTATCTCTTTAAAGCTGAAAATCTGGCTTCTTTTCTTACGTCTCACGTCTGTCCAACAAAATGCCTAAATTTTGTAATATGACGACATCCATGGATAGCGAGGGATCTGTGCTATCAGCAAAATGCTCTAAACACTGCACCTACATGCCACTGTAGCCGCACATGAATATTTCCCTTGTGAACCTCCATGGGATGTGATGTGTTTGTGAGGTCGGTGTGAAAAGCATCATTATCATTTCAGAGAATTTTGAAAAGAGAATGGATTTCGGGAATTTTCATCTTGAGAGAATAAAATAATCAATTTATCATTTATGCATCTGCCAAATGGGGCCTTAACAAATTCCAATTCCTTTCTTGTCATCTTTCATGAGAAGATGCTCTCAATGTGCGGCTGCAATAGTTAGTTGCGACATGCTGAGAGCCTTCGGTTGGAAACAGATTTGAACTCATTTATTCACAACTAGCAGGAAGACCGAAAGCCGGTGCTGGATGCCATGGTTTTTAAAAATCGATTTAGAAATGGAATCGTTTTGACCACTGGTTGTCAGGTCAAACGGTCCTATAATTCGATCTGAATCCCAGTCGGACGGTTTTGAGGTCCAAAACCGGTTCCTCAGCCATGATTGGTTCTTGAGTCAACCAATCCAATCATCGGGATCGATCCGGTTTTCAAAACTAAGTTGGATGCACACGGGCGGTTCACGACTAGAAATCTAGATCTGCTACCAATCAAATGCTTCTAATATGTCCCACTTTGCAAAATTGCAGCTGCAGATCTGTACAGGGAGCGTTTCGTTTGTAAAACAAAAATGAACATTAATTCTCATTGATACATTTAGTGGGACCCATATTGTAGGAAGGGAGTACCTTTCGCCGTGTCACGTGTTGGTCCGTTCATATGGTGGGCCGGCAAATATACCTCTCCTCCGTCTTATTTGACTTTCTTTACAAGGGAACAATGGTGGCGACTGGCGACCCGGCGAGCGTGTTCTCATTCCACATTTTCACACTCTCTACGGCTCTACTGCACCCATGCTGGCTCTAAAAGTGCTCAAATATCAAATACTCTCATCGGTGTACTCATGGGCTAAAACCGTGAATCACGACACTCAAAGCTTGTATTGATGTAAGCCCACTTTAAATCTTAATGAACCATCGAAGGCCAGGCCGTGATTTCATGGTTTTAACCACATCGCGACTCCAATGGGAACTGCTGATTTCTTCTGGAAACATGTTTCAGAATCCATAATCTAACTTTTTCGCCAATCAAAGAGGGGAGTTCAAACACGTAGAACTCCTTTGATGAGATATTTGTCATTGGAAATTGGATCACTCCTTTCATTTTTACTTCATCGGTCCCCGTAGTAGCCGTAGACGACTTTAACACCACCGGAGTTCATTAACACCCGCCAACCCAGAAAATAAAAGAAGAGAAACTGAGAGAAAGAAAAAAAAAAAAAAAAGAACGAACGGCTCTCCCATTCCGTAACTCCCAGTAATTTTATATGAAGATGGTTTTGATTTTATGTACAGAATGGCATTGTATTGGAATTGGATCATTATCATATTCTCTGTCACTCACACACACACACAGAAAACAAACGCACTCTCACGCCCAAAACTTATAATTGAATGGTTACCCCTCTTGCACCACCTATGACATGGGTGCTGGAGGGCAGTGAATTATTGTTAGAAATGGGAAGCGAGCTGGATCCATGTTGCCACCCGTGGCCGTGTTTGGTGGCATCGTACTTCTCACCATCACCCCATAGGGCGTATGCTTCTTCCCCATGAACCGCATCGTCTCCAATCACCAGCTCTTCCTCCGACATCCTTAGGGGCATGAATATCCTTATCCCTAAAAGAATAAGGGTCGTCGATACTATATTCCATCCGATCACGAAGGTCGCTGCAACCAATTGCTTCAGTAACTGTACCCCTCCTTCCCCACCGTAGAATGCACCCCTCGAGTTCTTCACCGGTAAGATGAGCCGGCAAAGGACCGGCTCCGCCAATAGCCCAGTCAGTACTCCGCCTAACAGCCCCGCCACTGCGTGCGTGTGGAATACCCCGAGCGTATCATCCACCTTATTAATTGACCAAAGTAACAAATTAAAACGACACCGACATGCTAATCTCTGCACTCCACTGCGCACTACCTACTTTTTTTCAATGAATTAAATGCTAGCTGGCTCACCTTCTGTAGGAACGAAGACTTCTTGTGGAGGATCATCATGGTGAACCATGGAACGCTACCGGACATTATACCCATCACTATCGCCGCCCACGATTGCACCACCCCTGCACGCACAGTACCAACAACAATGCCCATGGTCAACCCCCGTAACTACTATCATGCCACTTCACGGAGAATTCACAACTCTGCGCAAAGACCTACCTGCTCCCGGAGTGATGCAAACAAGGCCGGTCATCATGCCTTGAACGGCTCCGATCACCGAGGGCCTCCCGAAGAAGACAACATCAAGAGATGTCCAGACGAGAAGGCTCGTGGCCGCGCATATGTTGGTATTTAGAACAGCGACCGAAGCCGCGATATTCGCTGCGTAAGGGGCGCCACCATTGAAACCTGACCAACCCATCCACAGTAGACCAGCCCCAGCCAGCATAAGCAGGACGTTGTTTGGAGAAAACCTCTCTCTGTCAGTCTTCAGCCTCGGTCCCACCTGCACACCATGTATTACCATGTCAAACTCAAAACTTTAGGAAACGGAACGAACCACAATTTCACCGAGTTGGACAACTCGGTGGCTCCCGAACCGAAAGAAATGAATGCAACTCGGTTACACGAATAAAATGAGCCCATGACGATTGAAGACTAAACCGGTTCTGGTGCAGCTGGTGACTGGTAAACCCCCAGCTGGTGCAGCTGGTGACTGGCAAGGAAATAATTGAAAAAAAAAAAAAAAGACGAAACCGGTTCTGGCCGACAAAGATTCGGAGATTTACCCAGTAGGCTGCGGTGAACCCGGCGATTCCCGAAGAGAGATGGATGACATAGCCGCCGGAATAATCGATAACTCCCCATTGGTATAGAAATCCGCCGCCCCAGAGGCTAAAGGCACCGACCGTATAGGAAAATATGAGCCATAAAGGGACAAAAGCCATCCAGGCCTTGATGTTCATCCGCCCCAGAACCGACCCAGCCAATAGGATAAGGGTGATAGCCGCAAACTGGAATTGGAAGTAGACGAGGGAGGTCATGGGGTAGAGGGGCTTGTTCATGGGCGTCTCTTCCGTGCCATTTTTGTAATAGTGGGTGCTCTCCGGAACGACAGCTTGGTTGATAAGGAACTTCTGGCTGAGGGCAGGTGCACCCTTTCCCCAGAAGGGGAGGAGCTCGTCACCGAAAGCCATGCGATAGCCAACGACGACCCAACATATGAGGGCGGCGGCGAAGGCGTAGAGAGCCATGAAGGCGGAGTTGACAGCCCATTTCTTTTTGACGATGCTACCATAGAGGATGACGAGGCCTGGCATGCTCTGGATTCCAACGAGGGTAGCGGCCGTCATCTGCCATGCGTTGTCGCCCTTGTTGAGCCATTCTGGAACCGCCGGTGTGATCTCTTGGTAGGCGGCGGCGACGAAGGTGGACATGACTCGGAACCAGATCGGATACTGGTATTCTTATTTACCTTGGGTCTCTTATTCTTCAATTGTCATGGACTCATTTTATTTGATGTATTCCGATATATGAATAATAGAGAACAGACCATCATTAGAAAACTCTTGGGTGTAAGGAGGTGCGTACGGAGTAACGGAGATGACCAGATGGGAAGGTTCCTTTGAAAACCAATGGTACGACCACAGGAAGGGTCAGTCTCTCCGGTCAGGGAATAATTTATATAGGTCCCACCACCAGGTCAACTATGAAGTATGAAGTATTGCACCATTCACCTGCCTCCAATCGAACACTAGTATTGTAATATGCATTTCTCTACTCTCTCCTGGCATGATGGACCTGTTTGTTATTCATTGTAATGGATTTTGTTAGGTAAATCTCTCCTAAAGTTTCCGACAATCACAAAAATTTTTGTTATAGTTTTATTTTAGCAAAAACATTTAATTATCTTGTCCTAATTGAACGACAAAAACCTCCCTTTCCCGGTGTGGCGTTGTCCCTCTTTTTCCTTCTATTCTATTCTTTTCTGGCTTCCCACGTTAGTTAGGAAAAAGAAAGAAAGAAAGTGATGCAAAAAAACAAAAAAGTGGGCTGGGTTCTCTTCTATTCCATCTCGTCCAATGTTTTCTCTAGTTAGCTAATCCTACCATTGTTATTTTTCGTACCAAGTCATTTCAGTCAATCTCGACCAACCAATTCGGTCAAAACTCCATGTTTGGTAGAACCTCGTGCTCTTTTAATTGGAGTCGCCTTTGTCCCTGACGTCGCCTGAGCAGTATCAAGTATCAACTGGTGCACTCAAATCTTTTTCTATAAAATTAACACACATCATGAAATTGGGAAATTGAAATGAAAAGTTAAACCAATTTGGGATGGTTTGAGGAGTGCTTAATCAAGTTTAAGAATGAAAAAGGCAGTTTTCATGGATACCCCATGTTGCCATCTCTAGATTTAAACCGGAAAAGTAATCTAAAGGGTTATCCTATACAATGTGTGGTATATGTTTCTACATTGTATGTCTTGTTTGATTCAGAGAGGTGATCAATATGCTCAATTTGTATATCAAACAAGGGGACTCGTCAGACAGGCCATGCATTAACTTCCCAGATAGATTAGCTCTATGCTCTCTTGATCATGTCTACCACCTATGATTTCTTCTGATTCATTGATGCTGGCCAATAGAAGAACTCTTTTTATATCGGAATTCCCAAAAAAAATATTTTGCTTAGCTACGAGGCATGTTTCTTTTTCCTCTAAAGTTTGATAAAGCACAATGCATGAAGCATGGATTAACTATTCTAAAATCTTGCTCCATGAATAATAACAAATAAAGCATGGGAGGATGAGGTTGTTTGGACTGAGTTTCACAAAGGTTACAAATGATGCATTGGGGGGCTTTGTGGTTGTTGATGAGGACTATCTGAGTTGGCAGAGGTTGGATGCAGTGAGATCGTTAGTTTGGGGGGCTTCAGACAAATTTTTTTTTTTTTCCAAAGTTTTGGAGATCCATATTAAACAAAAGAAGGTCTAGGTGAGTTTAGCAGTGGAAGGCATGGTTCAAAGTATTGATACGATACGCCCGATACAGGGTGTATAGGGTGTATCGTATTGTATCTTTTGAAAAAGATATGGTCTTTTCAGATGTTTCGGCCCCCAATTTTTTTTAATAATAAAAAGCATGCTAAAAGCTTCCTAAAAAAATATAAAAAAAAAAAAGAAAAACTAAAAGCTGATGAAAAGAGCTGATTTTCAAGCAAGTGCTACAGGAAATTAGGGGACAACGTTAGCAAGAGAAATCATATCATTGTGTTTCGGGTTTTCAATGGAGGAGACGTCCTTCTGAGGTGGTTGACCGACTTGAGATGCTTGTAATCGCCCCATGATTGACCATTCTTATTACAGATGAGAGTGCTTTAATTGTTGCTTCAAATTTTAGTCTTGGGCTGTCGACAGAGGTCTCTGGTGACAGTCATGGAGATTAAGAGGTGCATGTTGTGTTTCTCTTTGAATCGATGGAGTTAGGATGAGAGATTGTGTGTTGTGTTCCACCGGATAAATTGGAATACGAAAAGAGGGTGGAGAGGTCGACGAACAGGAGTCTTTTAGTGAAAATAGATGCAAATTAATTTATGAAAAGGTTAAATAAGTATTTGAAAAAAAAAAATTGATTCACCGATTTAACATTTTCCGTCTTAATCATTTACGGAAGGGAGGTTTTTGATACATTCTTTAAAAATCAAGGAGAAGCTTTTGTTATATATAGGAGAAGCTTTTGTCGTAAACTTCAAGGAAGGTTTTTGTCTTTTACCCATTTTATTATTTTCTGGTGGAAGCGTGGAAGTGTAAGCTAATTGAGATTGACTCGTTGGAGCAGTGATTAGGACGACCGGCATTGGGGACGGGGCACAGGCTCACAGCGTGGCAGCAGGACTGCAGGAGGGTTCAACCCACCCGAGGCTCAACGGCAGAAAGCGAAGCCCTATGTAGGTGCAGTCAAGTCATGTCATGTGAACCACACCTAACTTAATACCTTTAGATACTACAAATTAAAGAGAATATTTTTGTTATGGTAGATTCTTCCCTAGAAAGTAGTACTATAATATTATATTATATAAGTGTTGTTGATAATAATAAGCTAAATAATTATTGGAAACCGGACAGCAAAAAGCCCTGGCCCTGGGACCATGGTGGTGAAAGCCCCCATATGCTTTTGGCCAGCCAACCATTGAATCTTTGATGAATTCTGAGATCCACGCCATTTTTTTATAATTTGAAATTGAATCTCTTAAAGATTCTGATTCCAAGGGTGTTGACCTAGAGAAGGGAACTACCGCTTACTTGCTATTGGCGTTGGTCTTTACTTTAATGTGCTGGTTAATAAACCTATCAAATTAGCTATTAGTTATTAGTTGCTTCAAAATTCAAAGCATGGAGGTACACATTACCCAAGCACTATATATGTATAAACTTTGTCACGGAAAGATGATTTCTCTCTTCAGTCTCTTTTTTTTTTTTTTTTTTGGAATTTTCGCCTAGTATAACTTGCCACGTGTTCACAGTAAGTCTATATTTGTAAATATTTTTTTAAAAAAAGGTTGGATCATTGACACAAGTAAAATCACAACATAACAATAGGATATTGTACATACTACCAAGGACTGACTGCAAGAGTAAAGGCACTAGGGGAATCCCAATGGATAATATCCTTTATCTGATGAACATTTTTTATCAACTACAGAGTTGCTCCATCAAGGGAGCCATTTTGCTTGGCCTGATTAAGAAACTTCTTGTCTATATGTTAGAGTAGGTTTGGTCAAGTCCTCCAATGAAGCTGACTCACCAAGAAATTTTCTGTAGGCAAGTTGGCTTTGGAGCTTAAAGGAGTTCCACACATATTCCTTTCAATAATACCTGCTAATGGGTATTAAGGGGACTATTGGATCGGCAACATATTTAATCTCACAGTCCATATCAGCCATATTATATCCCTGTTTGTATATGAGGATTTCTCACCTAATTAGTTCTTCAAAATATCAATCTTTTGGACTGAAAATTTACATTACGCTGAGTTTGGAAGGAGTACAAATGTAAATATGTAGAGTGTAAAATCTTATATTTTGTATTGTCTTGTATATATTTATGCTGTACGTATTTACATTTTTACTGCTTCTAAACTGAGCATTTATACTTCTTAGGCTCAGTTTGAAAGGAGTACAAATACAAATTTAGGTTTTAGTGTTTAAATTTTAGGGTTAGGATTTATAAATTTATAATTTAGGGTTAAAAGTTTAGGATATTGATATAAAAATGAAGAGGTATGGACGAAAGCATCTAACCAGGGTAGGAGCGAGTCTGTGCTCAAAGTGACATCACTTATGAGAGATTATTCAGCTGTTTCTCTCTTATTTTCTATCAAGCTAAACACAACATTAGGGAAATCAAACTCAGTAAATGATATTACTAGCAAACTTGTAGAAATAGTTCCCCTAATCAAGTGGAGTAGGGAGTTTGCCTAAGTAACTGCATCTATTTCTGTTGGATGGAGGGATGATATGGCTAATCTGACCAATGTACCAAGGGGACCTCTAGGTTAGCTAGCCACCTGTTCAATCCTCTAGAACATAGCTATCATGCATTATTCTAGTCTTGTGGCAACATTTTTGTGCTCAAGTTGGACTGATATTGATTTTTTGATGGAAATGGAACAGCCTAAGGACATTTTTCTTCATAAAAAGGAGGAGGATCTTTTCTGGGCCATTTGAGGCCCAAAACGAATCTTCCACATTAGATTCCGTGGTCGTCAAGGATTATACAGAACTTGTTTAAGTGGTTTTTCCATTCTCCAAAATGATATTGACTTTGCGTAATAAAGGATGACTGCCAGTGGAGGAGGAAAGGGACGATCAGATTACCTTGCTTAATGCACAGAATTGCCGCTTCCAAAATCCCCACATGTGGGGGCAGACCTGTTCATGGGCCGGGTAGCCCGATGGCCCAGCCCGCACCCGGTCGGGTTTGGTCATGTAATTAGACCCGCGGGCCTGACCTCGGACCTAACACAGTAAGCCCGATTGTGTTTCGGGCCAGGCTCGGGATTTGTCAAAAAAGCTCGGCCCTACGCAACTCAACATTATATATTTTTTAAAATATATAATATTATATAAAATATATAAATAATATAATATTTATTGAAATATATATTTATAATTTAATATATATTTTTTATTCTTTTCTTTATAATTTCTCTCTCTCTCTCTCTCTCTCTCAGTCGCTTTAGCAGTAGTAACAGTATGGGCTAAATTTCGGGCTCGGGCCCAAGCCCGGGCTTTAGGCTTTTTATGAGGGCTGGGCTCGAGCCCAAGTTATAGGCCCGATGGTCAGGCCGGGCTCGAGCTCGGGCCTTAGAAAAATCTGTTAATACAGAGTGAAAGCCCGAACCGGCCCATGAACAGGTCTATGTGGGGGAGATAAAAGTAGCTCTGAGCTCTGTCACACCCGATAAAACTTTGGTTGTCCCCCTATATTTGGTTAAAAACTTAAAATAATGTTTCAAATAATCATTATCATGTTTGGGAGTGCTTAAAAATAAGTGTTTATTAGGGTTATTAAGTACTTATTGGTATTTGAGAAATAAGCTCAAAATAAGTATTTAATTTAAAAATAAGGGTCTACTTTTTAAGCCCATATTTCTAGCTTTTTTTAAGTGCTTATACAATAAGCACTTATTCAATTTTTTTCTTTCAAAATTATCCCTAGTTGACTTTTAAAATACCACTTATAATATTATCCCCAGTTGAATTTTATACAGGCACTTTTATGAAAGTGCTTTCATAAAAGT